GCGCGCTGTCGCCGCCGTCGTTGCTGTCGTCCTCGTCGCTCGTCGGCCCGGTGTCGGGCCGGACGAGAGGGGGGGGATAGGGGAACGGGGGGGGGGTACGACAGCTGCTGCGTGCAGCTGGTTTCGGCCCCGCCGCCAGGCCCATTCCTCGAGGCATGGGCGCCGCCCGGCGCCGGGAGGCGCCGGGAAAATCAGCTACGTGAGCTGATCCTAAAACCCCCCCTTTGCTATCCCCCCCTTGCGCCTGGCCCGATGGTAGGCGATGGGATATCCCACGGCCCGGCGAATGGAGTGCACGCACGCGTGTTCGAAAGGGGGTGGGAGGAGCAGGGGGTAGGGGCAGGATCGGGAGCGAGAGCGGGAGGAGAACGGGGAGAGTGAGATCAAGATGCGCCATCCAGTGCAGGTTGTGTGGTCGTTCTCCCCCCCCCCACGCGCGCAAGGGGGGGGTCCCCTCCCCCGCGCCAGGAAGGAGGACGACGTGTCTCGCCCTTCGTCGTCGTCGCCGTCGCAGTCGCCGTCGCCGTCGAGGTCGACGTCGTCGTCGTCGCCGCCGCCGTTGTCGTCGTCGTCGTTTGCTGGCGCGAGGCGCGCGGGGTTTTGCGAAGGGGGGGATCGAGGGTTCTGTGCGAGGGAGAGGGGATGGGGGGGGGTGGTCCGGGTCGCCAGGTGGTTGGGATGATTGGCGCAGGGGTCCCCCTGGTTTTCGACGTGTCGGGCGGTACTCCTCACTCAAGTGCCCGTGGAAGGCAGTTTATCACATCCCCTCCAACCTCTTTCCCCATCTTGATGAAGGTAAGGCAAACGGAGGATGAGGTACAGAGTTCAAAGGAGGAGGGAAGAAGGATAAAGACGGATAAGGATGTGGGAACACGGAGGAGGAACAAGAGGGGGATTTGCCCTTGCATCCGCTGGCAGTACAGATGCCCATGCTCTTGTTTGTCTTACAGTTGCTCGACGAGCGCCATAGAGTAGATAACTGAACGCGAGATGAACTTATTCAGTCGAGGGCGCCGATACAGTGACGGGGGGGAATCGATCATCATCACCTTTCACTTCCTCCCCTACCTCTCTCCTTCGCCCCACCTCGTCCCTTCTACACCTTCTTCCCTCCTTCTCGCCTCTTTCCCCCCTCCTACTACTCCGCCACCCTTGCGGGTTAAGAGGCTACTTGCATGAGTTGAAGGAGTAGCAGGGGCGGGGAACGCACAGTGGAGCTTTGAGAGTAAGGGAGGATGAGGGAGAGGCGACCAGAAGGGGAGGAGGAGGAGGGTGTAGGAGACGTATGAGGCATAGGAGGACGAAAACGACGAGCAGGAGGACGACGAAGAGGCGAGAAGGAGGAAGAGGAGGAGGAGGAGGAGGAGGGCAATGATGAGATGAGGAGGAGGATAATGATGATGATGATGATGATGATGATGATGATGATGATGATGATGATGATGATGATGATGATGATGATGCTGATGCTGATGATGATGATGATGATGATGATGATGATGATGATGATGATGATGATGATGATTATGACGAGGAGGAGGAGGAGGAGGAGGAGGAGGAGGAGGAGCGAGGAGGAGGGAGGGAGGAGCACGACGACGATACGGACGATGACAAGGACCACTCAGGATGATGGTGCAAAGGAGGCGGTTAAAGTCCAATGATGATCTGCAGATGGATGGGAACGGAAAAGGAGAGGAGGTGGATGGAGGAGGGGATGAAGACAGAGGAGGGAAGAGGCATGACGTAGAAGACGTTGCTTAGGAGGAAGGTGGTGGGAATGAGGAGGGAGGAGGAACATGAAGGGTGAGGGAGGATAAGGGAGCAAGAGGTGCAGGATCAGTTTGACAGAATGATGATGGAGAAGTCGGGGAGATGAGCAGGGGGATGACGAGGAGGAGGGCGAGGACGAATGAGGAGGGATGGGGAAAAATGGAGAAGGATGGGGGAGGAGGAGATGGAGGAGGAGGAGGAGGAGGAGGAGGAGGAGGAGGAGGAGGAGGAAGCCGTTCTCACTCTGCTGCCCCCCTATCCTCCCTTCCTTCACCTTCCTATCACGTTTCCGTCCCTGGTTCCTATGGCCACCACTCCTCCCCCTCTCTTTCCCTCCGTTCGGGCGGGAGCTCACCTGCCTCCCCACCTCCTCTCAATGGCCTGTTGGCTCCCAGGCATTCCCGATTCGTGCGCACCTGACGTTGCGTTTCTCCTACATTCCTAGTACATCCATCATTCTCATCATCCATGTGATCGTCGACGTCGTCTTCGTCCTGACCAGAGGATGTCGTGAGGGAGAACCAGAAAAGGGGAGGAGGAGAAAGAGGATGACAGGAGAGGACCATATGGATGGATTGGGAGGATAAGAAAAATGAGGAAAAGGACAGGGAGGATAAAATGGAGAAGGGGGGGAGGGGGAGGAGGAGGAGGAGGAGGAGGAGGAGGGGGAGGAGGAGGGAGGAGGAGGAGGAGGAGGGAGGAGGAGGAGGAGGAGGAGGAGGAGGAGGAGGAGGAGGAGGAGGAGGAGGAGGAGGAGGAGGAGGAGAGGGCTGGAATGAGATGGCTGGGAGTGGCAGGGCGAGGAGGATCCAATGCGTCCCGGGCCCCCCCCCTAAGCCGCGCACGTGTCGCTGGCCATGATTTGCGCCTTCCCCTCTTGGACGCCTTCTTCCTTGCCGCCCCCGAGAGGAGGGAGAGGAGGAGGAGGAGGAGGAGGAGGAGGAGGAGGAGGAGGCAATGGAGGAGGAGGGGGAGGAAACCGCGTGTCTGAAGGCTTCGGGCGGCAGCTTGCGCGTTCGGCAGGGCGCCCGCGCACATGTACTTGAACATATACCGCCACATCCAATTTTTCACTCACCCCTTACGTTCCTTTTTCTCGCATCCCCCAGCTGTCAGGTTGCCATTGCCCCCGCATCGTTAAGCAGCATCACCGCGACGACCACGACTTGTGGAGCCAGCGTGGCACCGACGCGAAGCCGAGAGCATTCAGCAGTACGTGCGTTACTCCGAATTGCAGCTGCACGAGAACTATTTCACGCACGTCGCAGCGCGCAACAACCACCGCGACATGCGCCGCAAGCTCCGGCAATGCAGGCAACATGCGGATCAACCGTGAGCGAGCAATGGAGGACATCATCGCCGTGGAAACCAACCTCGAGCCGCACTCCAAGCAGGGGCCACCGACGCGCCCTGACCGAACCCGCGATCGGCGCGGGTCGCGCATGGCGGGGGTTCGAGAAATGGACAGCGCAATGGGCAACCCGACGCCCTGAAACCTACCGGAACAAGGGCGCCGGCAAGAACGCCGAGGGCACCAGCTGCGAAGGCGAGAACAGCTTGCCCAAGTTTTACGACGACTGCGCCGTGGACGCCGGCCAACCGCAGATTGGCAATGACAAGGGGGAGAAGTGCAAGGGCACGCAGCCACTACCACAAGAGGAGGACACCGCAGCCAAGAAGAAACACATGGAGGTCCAATCAGGATTACAATAGCCACCTCGACAGCATCATCAGCGTCGTCTTGCCCGTGCGCAAGTCTACGCCGCCAGGAGGTATGATTGAGGGGGGCCACCCAACGATGTAAACTTCGAAGAGGAGTGGAGGACATCCACGGCAGCTGAACAACGACGAGCAGCAGCCGTGACCATACATGCCAGCGCCGCTTGCCTAATTAACCCACGACAGACGCAGGAACACGAATCGCCTTCACCAAATCGACGGTCATCAGCAGCATGCCACCCCACCAGCACGGCAGCGATATCGACCGCAACAAACACTTCGCAGGGGACACCGCGTGCACCCCAACGCGCATCACGAGAACCGAAGCATCAGGTCGCAATGGGGGCCCATATTAACGTGCTCAACATTAAACCCTACCCATGGGGATATCAGTTTCGCGCGGGAGGATGCGCGCAATGAGATCAGCGCGACAGACGACGAGGCGAAGGTCTCACAAGGAGACGGCGCCCAATGGGTGACTCCCACACCAGCACCGCGAAGGCTAACTTGGGCCGGGGCGACGAACGAGGGCCAAGACGTCGGAGCGCCACTCAAGGCCCTCGAAGAGGAGAGCCAACGGCTCGCAGAAGACGCGAGTACCAATGCATATGAGGCCAAGGAAGATTTCGACATCCTCTGGCACGGCGACGCGCGGAGCGACAAGGCGAGACATAATTCCGCGACTGAACTACACGAGACTTTCGGGCAGTCGAAGTGAGGGCGCGATAATCTTAACCACGAAGCAGCAGCGTCCAGTCCAGCGAGTGCAGCGCCACTACAACTGGCGCTGCAACGAACGGCGCTCCGCACGGCAGAACGAAGCGAAGCCCGCCGACGCGAGGTCCAGGCTTGTCAGCAAAAAGAGGCCACGCGGAGGGAATGGGCAGTTTGACGCGAAGGGCGCGCCGAGGAGGCGACCCAGGGATCATTTCGCGCGCGACAAGCAGGGGTTCAAGCAGGGTGACCCAATTCGCGCGATCGCGCAGCGACCTAGCCTGGGGGGCGACGGCATCACCTCCGGTGCATGACAGGCACCACCGCGCCCCACCCTCCCACTTCAACGAAAGGTCGTTGCACTCCGACAACGCTGCGCGACGCGGGCGGAGGCGAGCCCCCACCGAGGGGCGAATTGCGCGATGCGCTCTTATCTCGCCGACCCCCAACGCACGGGCGCCAGGATCGACGGCGGCACGGCTACCCACCTACAGACCCCAGCACGAGGGGCCACCCGACTGTCATGCTGAGAGGAGATGCCCCCGCCAGCCCCATCGCCGAGCAGGATCTTCACCGGCGCCCCCGCCAGGGGGGGGTCGCTGCCACCGCCGCGCGAACTTGCCCCCGCCGTCTCGAATCCCCAGGGCTCCAGCGCAAGGAGGGCAAAGAGGGCCACCGTCGAAAAGGCGCCCCCAACGTGCCCCCCAGATCACGCCGTGCCCCGCCGAGGCACCAACGGACGTTGAGTCCAGCGACATTGCGGCCCCGGCCACGAAGACTGCCTCAGGGCCGCGCTG